GGTACCCCTATGCCCCTTCTCACGCGTCAAACCTTTTTCACACGTCACAGCCCTTGTGCGCGTCGTCAGCTACTGTTCGCTTTGCCGTGCGTCAGGTAGCCCCTGACCCGATCCGCGCGTCAGCTACCATCCCCTCTTGCCCCACTCCGCACGTCAGCTACCATCCCACCTTCTCGCGCGTCACCCTTCGATCCGCACGTCATCCAAGTCGCGCGTCAGCTGGTACCCTCCCTCTCGCTCGTTAGGTGCCCCTGTCTGCTTCCATCTCGATCCGCGTCAGCCTTTCCGCACACAGTCCGTCAGATCCTCTCCCTCGTCAGTCGTCAGGCCCTTGCCGTGCGTCAGCCCTTCCCTGTGTGAGACCCTCCTGTCCCGATCCGCGCGACTCTCCCCCCTTTATCGCGATCTGCGCGTCAGCTGCAAGTTCTGCGCGTCGCTGCTATCCCGGGCCCCCTCATCCCGATCCGCGCGTCAGCTCACTATCCCCGCTTCCGCACCCCTATACCCCCGGCAGTCAGGGACGTGCGCCTGACTGACTACCTGACTAACTATCTATCTAGTTGACAAACGAGCTAACTGGCAAACTAATCAACTAACTCAGTTAACTAACTGCCCACCTAACCACCTGACGAACTGACTAACTAACTAACTAACTAACTAACTAACTAACTAAGTAACTGACTAACTAACCAACCAACTAACCAACTAACTAATTCACTAACTAACTAACTACCCCGCCACCTCCGCACTTTCGCCCGTCAGGCGCCGCCTCACCCGATCCCGCCCGTCAAGTGCTCCGCCAGGCACTTCCAACCCTGCGCTCGATGCTGCGCCTGACATTCCCGAACGTCAGGTAGTGCCTAGCCCGATCCCGCGCATGAGCCCGCACGGCAACTAAACTTCCCCATTTTCTCAGCCGCCGCGCGTCAAGTAGCCCCGCGCGACAGGTGGACTAACCAACAAACTGACTGCCTGACGGACTAGCGAACTACATACGCCTTACCCGATCCCACGCGCATCAGGCACTATCCCCAGAGTAAGAATGAACTAACTAGCTAACTAGCTAACTACCAAACTACCTAGCTACCTAACTAATGAACTCGCTGACGCACTAATTAACTAAAAGATGCTCCGAGCGTCAGGTACCGCCTAACCAGATCCCGCACATGAGAGCTGCCCCGGCAGCCCGCGCGGCGACTAAACCTCCCTGTTTTTTTCCCCAGCCGCGCCTACGTACCATCTCGCGTGCAAGGCACTACGCAACCCAACCCCGCGCGTCAGGTACCATCCTCGCATTTCGCAGCTAACAAACCAACCAACAACGAACTAAGCAATTATCCACCTGACTGCTTGATGGACTGATTGACTGACTGACTGACTGACTGACTGACTGACTGACTGACTGACTGACTGACTGACTGACTGACTGACTGACTGAAAAACTCCTCCTGACTACGTCACTATCTCAGAAACTAACTAACGAACCAACTCACACACTCACTCACTCACTCACTCACTCACGCACTCACTCACTCACTCACTCACTCACTCACTAGCCGCCTTCCCCCCCCCCCCCGCCTCTAGCCTCCGCGCGTCAAGTAGCCCCGAGCGTCAGGTACTCTTTGAGTGCGAGTGAGGTTATAGGTTAAGTACTAACTCACTAAATGACTAACTTAGTAGCTTTCGATCTACCTAACTAACTAACTCGATCATTAATTAGCTAACTAACTAGCTAGCTAGCTAACTAACTAAGTCATTAACTAACCACCAACTCTTTTTTGCAGCCTTTGCGCGTCAAATCCGCAGCAATCCCACGCGTCAGGCACCTGCTCTCGAGATCCCGCGCGTTAGGTACCTCCCTCCTCCCGCGCGTCAGGTGCCCCCTTTCCGCGCGTCAGGTACCGCGATACTTTTCCCCAGCCCGTGCGGCAACTAAACAACCAAGTAAGGAACAACTACGTCACTAACTCATCAAATAACTAACTAACTAACTAACTAACTAACTAACTAACTAACTAACTAACTAACTAATTAACTACCTAACTAACTACTTAACTAACTAACTAGCTAGCTAGCTAGCTAACTAACTAACTAACTAACTAACTAACTAACTAACTAGCCGCCTTCTCCCCCCCCCCCCTCCGCCTCTAGCCTTCGCGCGTCAGGTACCCCCGCGCGTCAGGTACTCTTGAGTTTGAGTGAGGTTACAGGTTAGGTACTAACTCACTAACTGACTATCTCACTACCTTAGTAACTTTCGAACTACTTATCCAGGTAACTCATTAATTAGCTAACTAACTAGCTAGCTAGCTAATCAACCAACTCATTAACCAACCCCCCTCTCCTCTCCGCCTTTGCGCGTCAGGTCCGCGGCGATCCCGCGCGTCAGGCGCTCTCACGATCCCGCGCGTTAGGTACCTCCCTCCTGCCGCGCGTCAGGTACCCTTTCCGCGCGTCAGGTACCGCCAAACTCAATCCCGCACGCGACGTACTTTTTTCTCCGGCCCGTGGGGCAACTAAAAACAAGTAAAACTAATTAACTAACTAACTAACTAACTAACTAGCTAGCTAACTTACCAATTACCTAACTAACTAACTAACTAACTAACTGACTATCTAACTAACTAACCGCCTTAGCCTCCCCCCCCCCAGCATCCGCACATTAGGTACCTCCGCGTGTCCGGTACTCTTTGAGTGAGGTTTGAGGTTAGGTACGAACCAGTGAACGCGCGGATCGGGAGTGGGGAGCGCCTGACGCAAACCGCGGATGGGGATGGGGGGTACCTGACGCGCGGAGATAGTAGCTGACGCGCGGATGGGGGTTGGGGGTGCCTGACGTGCGGAAGGAAAATAGTAGCTGACGCGCGGACTAACTAACTAACTAACTAACCAACTAACTAACCAACTAGCCGCCTTCCCCCCCCCTCCGCCTCTTCGTGCGTCAGGCACCCCCGCGCGTCAGGTACTCTTGAGTGTGAGCGAGGTTACAAACTCACTTCCTTTGACTTTCGAATTTCCTATCCAGCTAACTCATTAATTTGCTAACTAGCTAGCTAGCTAGCTAACTAACTCCAGCCTTTGCGCGTCAGGTCCGCGGCGATCCGGCGCGTCAGGCGCCTGCTCTCACGATCCCGCGCGTTAGGTTCCTCCCTCCTGCCGCGCGTCAGGTACCCTTTCCGCGCGTCAGGTACCGCCAAACGCGATGTATTTTTTCCTCAGCCCATGGAGCAACAAAAAACAAGTAAAACTAATTAACTAACTAACTAACTAACTAACCAATTAGTTAACTAACTAACTAACTAACTAACTAACTAACTAACTAACTAACCGCCTTAGCCCCCCCCCCCCCACCATCCGCACGTTGGGTACCTCCGCGTGTCCGGTACTCTTTGAGTGAGGTTAGAGGTTAGGTACGAACCAGTAACTATAGAACTACTTACTAACTGACTCATTAACAAACTAGCTAGCTATCTAGCTAGCTAGCTAATTAACTAACTAACCACCAGCCCCCCCCCCTCCTCTCCAGCCTTTGCGCGTCAGGTCCGCGGCTATGCCGCGCGTCAGGCGCCTGCTCTCAATCTCCCGCGCGTTGGGCACCTCCCTCCTCCCGCGCGTCAGGTACCCTTTTTCCGCGCGTCAGGTGCCGCGAAACTGGATCCCGCACATGATGTACTTTTTCCCCAGACGTGCGGTAGCTGACCAACCAAGTAAGGTACCAAGCTACCTAACTAACTACGCAACTAACCAACTAACTAACCAACTAACCGCCTTACCTCTTATTCCCCGCCTCCAGCCTCCGCGCGTCAGGTACCCCCGCGCGTCAGGCACTCTTTAAGTGAGCTGACAGGTCCGCGGCGATCCCGCGCGTCAGGCACTTGCTCTCAACATCCCACCCTTTAGGTACCTCCCTCCTCCCGCGCGTCAGGTACCCCCTTTCCGTGCGTCAGGTACCGTGAAGCTCGATTATGCGCGTGACATATTTTTCCCGAGCCCGTGCGGCAGCTAACCAACCAAGTGCGCTACCAAGCTACCTAACTAACTACGTCACTAGCTACGTCACTAACTGACTAACTAACTAACTAATTTAACTAACTAGCTGAGTACCTAAGTAACTAACTAACTAACTAACTAACTAACCGCCTTACTCCTCCCCCCCCCCCGCCTCCAGCCTCCGCGCGTCAGGTACCCCCGCGCGTCAGGTACTCTTTCGGTGAGGTTACACAAGCTAGCTAACTAACTACGTCACTAACTACGTCACTAACTGACTGACTGACTAACTAACTAACTAACTAACCAATTAGCTAACTAACTAACTAACTAACTAACTAACTAACTAACTAACTAACTAACTAACCGCCTTACCCCTCCCCCCCCCCCGCCTCCAGCCTCCGCGCGTCAGGTACCCCCGCGCGTCAGGTACTTCTTTGAGTGAGGTTACAGGTTAGCTGGGGTACAGCCTGTCCACAGGATAAGGGGGGGGGGATGGCCCTCTAGTGACTTGTGTCTCACTTTGCGAGGACTTCAAACCCCCTTTGAAACAACCCCGTATTAGATCTCTGGTTGATTACTGAGGGGCAACGTATCTTAGGAGTCATCAAGGATCCAATTCAATTCATGGATCGTGGACATCAAAGATTAGTTCCTTGCCAATCTGAGAGGGTCCTAAGTACCCCATATTTACGGTTTTGAGTCTCTGAGTTTGGTTCAAGGGGATTCGTCAATTCTTGATTCCTCAAATCCGCAAATAGGTACTTGGACCCCTTGGGCTAGGGAATTTCTTCGTTTTTATCTCGGGGAGGAGTTGGCCAAGGCCCTCCCCGCCAACACCCCCCCCACCCCTCCCCCCCTCCCCTCCCCCACCCCGCTCCCCCCCCCTCCTTCCCCCCCCCCCCCAAACTTCCCCCCTCCTCCTGCCCCCCCCTCCTTCCCCGCCCCCCCCCAAACCCCTCCCCCCCCCTTCGCCCTTGAGACAGGTAGGCCATTGAGTTGGGTCGCATCAGGGCACCGTTGGCCTCGCGGCCGCGGGCTGCCATACCTGGCTGGTGCAGCTCCTCGTCGCTCGGCGCCTCTGCTGGCAGGCGCGGGTCCGGCGCCCCCGAAGCGCGCAACTGGTACCAAGCTTTTGCCGGGAATTTTCGACGTTTGGTGCATGTTGCTTGGATGTGAGGACTTTAACTTTTTGCCAACGAAGGGGTGTTCTGCATTAAACCACTAAAGGTGAGAAACAACTTTTAGCAGGGGAGCAGACAGAAAGCAATCGAGATTTTGTGAGCGCTCAGTTAAAACTGGCTGAAGAGCCATGAGAATATCCAGTCTTTCACACCCAAGCCACTAAATCACCCTGATGCCAGACAGTGGCTTTACCACCAGGCATAAGGCAACAGGGTTGGTTGAGTGAAATCATCAAACTGGCAACTGGTTTTATTGAACCAAGTAGAACCGAAATCCATTTTGCGTCCCCTAAAAATCACCCCCAATCTGAGGGGAACACGCCTTGGTCAGCTTTTGCATGCAGGTTGGGTGTGGCATCGTGCTTAGGGTAAACCAGGGGGCTCAAGTGCAGTGAAGGTTCCTTCGGCTCCGTTCTCGAGTTTTCCTGAATGGTTGCACGAGCTGATTTCACGGCTTAAACGCCTTTGCTTTGTATTGTGCCGTGTTGTTTTTGTCCTTTTCCGACTTGGGAGCATCGGCACTGGGCACGGAATGCCTGGAATCTAACCAGGGAGCGAGGTTCCTGCAACGTATAAGTAAGAGCTCCATGCCATTGTAGTATGTTTATGCCTGGGACGTTAAGGGTTCCATGGCATTTCCGTATGTTTATTCCCGGGACGTTCCTGTAGTGAGGGAATCAACATCGGTCGGAAGGTTCTCCCTATAAACTCCTTCTGAACCTTCACATGCGGATGGCTTCCCTAACCCAAAGAACACATTCAGACATGTCAGATTCGTTCATGAGGGTTCTGAGTTTAAAAGGAGCGACCATGACCACTTCACATAGGTTTGACCATGCCAAGTTAAGACGTCCAACTTGGAGGGTCTGCTACTTATTGTTCATGGATGTGGACACTGGTGTGCTAAATGATTGCTGTTTTGGGTAACGCTGTCATTCTATCCAACAGCTGCAATTGCTGGGTGTCACCAGTTCTGTTTGCATGTGTTTCGTCTGTGCATTCCTAGTTGACACGTCAAGGTTACTCATTCCTCCCTGGTTACCCAGAGCTATGGCCTTTCCACGATTGGACTGCCAGATCTAAAAGATCTAAGGTCTGAGTACACGGGCCCTGGCTCATTTGCCTTAGATAGCGTTCATTTCACGCTCACAAGGCTGCCCGAGCTCCAAAGCTGACTGGCAAGGACCCTCGGAATATGTTGCAAGGAGGATCTGATGAATGTTTATATATATATATATAACATAGCTCCGTATTCAAACAGACAGACTACCCAAGGACAACCATGTCCTGTGTTTGTCCTTTCTGAGCTTCATTTTTGTCGGGTGATATTCAAAGTGGAGCCCAGTTCCGAATTCTATTTGGTTGCCAAATCGCCGTATTTGTTAGCCTCCCACCAATTAACATTGTAACATGGAGCCTAACAAAGGGTCCCTCTGAGAGACTCTGAAAAGAAAATGGTCTTCCAGGGCCCAGAAGGACACCAAAAGGGAATGGCCCACACGGTTTCCTTTCCGGGACTTTGGACTGGCGTCAGGCCTCAGACGTGGCGGACCGTGAGACCGACCTCCTGGCGATGGAAGAAAGCACGCTGAAGGCCATGGAGATCGATGAAGGACGTCACACTCAGCTGAGAACCCCGCGGAGAAAAACAAAAAACAACAGTCTGGAGACATTCATATGGCCGTGGACCCGTCAAAACCGTTTTGGGATCCCATTTTGGTTGGTAGGTGAATTCACCACCCGTTTTAGTCGGGAGTTTAGTGGTTGGATTGGGATGTTCACTGGGGGTATTTGGATTTTGGTAGAACAAGTTCTTTGGTGCATGTTGCTTGGATGTTAGGACTTCGACTTTTTGCCAACGAAGCGGTTTTCCATTAAACCACCAATCAGTTATTCACTTTTAGCAGGGGAGCAGAAAGCAACCGAGAATTGACAAACCATTTTCTTGCTTCTTGTCCGAGGCCACTGGAGATCTGTCGCCAACTCACAAAACCAATCGTTGCTCAACTCACGTCCGCTCGAGCATCGTTGGAGCACGTTTTGGATTAGCTACCGCCATCCACTGGTCTTGGCTACCGTCCACGGAAGCTTGCGAAATTAGAGCCATCTTGATTGCTATTGGGTTGGATCTTTAGACTTTATATAAGGTTTTTGGGAAACTAAGCTTTCTGCAGAGGGTTTATCAGCAACCAAGCCATATTGGCAGATGTTTGTTCGAATGGTGTGAAACCTTTTTGCCATCCACTTCAGCCTTTAGTGTTGTAACACTCGCTTCGGTCAAGCGTTGTTTGACAAAAACACATTCACATTGAACTTCCATCATCTATTTTGGAACATCTATTCAACGTAGTGTCGAATCACCATTTGTGTGTTAACTTCCGGTCATCTACTTCCTGCGTTGGTCTTGCAACGCCCATGTTGCAAGACAACCTTGGGCTGAACCTCCTGGGTGCTGGCGTTGGAACTTCTATTGTGGTGTAACTGTATCGGAAGACAATGGTGTTGAGTTCCCGTCCTCGGCGACCGGTTGTTGGAAATGGCGAGTGTGAAACCCTACTCATTTTTCATGTCAGGTTTTGGTATTGGACACAGACGGTTGGGCATGTTGGTGTAATATATTTGAGAAGCCAATGGCGCGTGGGCTTGAACTTGAGCTTTCAAGGCCCAAGTCAGAATGAACACCGCCTTGGACGAGCATGGCCCGGTGGGTTCACTGAGATGTTTTTCCAGATGACAAGCTGTGAAGAAACGGTGAAATGGGGCAGGACACCAAAAGAGGGGTTGCCCTGAAAGAGACTCCTACAAACATTGGGCATGCCTACGGTCTTGCAAAAGGGGCTGTCTTTTTGACGCACCCCCTTTTTTTCGGCATCACCACAAGATAAAATCGAGGTCAACCAAAAGGCCGGGTTGGAAGAAGCGAGTGGCCCCCGCGGCTCGTTCTTGCAACTCTTGGGTCAACACCCAATCAGCATCTCAGAGCCTGATGAAATTGAATCTGTTCATGTTTGTTGTTGGGAAACATTTTACAATTTTGCTTATTGTGGTTTAGTGGTAGAAATCCAGCCACTTAACTCCTAAAGTTGTTCCTTCCAACGTTAACCAAGTGTACAGGAGATCCCGGCGACTTGCCCTCGGAGTTGCGAGCTCTGTCCAAGCTCAGCTCCGACGCTCGCTCTTGAAGAAGGTCCTAAGTCAAGTACGCTCTTTCCCACAGTCATAGTGGGCAGGAGAATCTGACATGCCCCGCTTGAGAAGGCCCCTTTATTTTCATGATTGAAGCAATAGGGTAATGCGGATGGTCATGTGTCTTCCTGTTGAGGGTAGCCTTTTGGTGGTGGTTGAAATGGGAAGCCGGAGGGAAATGCTGGGGTTCCCCACGAAACCCAAGGGTCGCCTTGGCAAACTTGAAGCTGGGAATCTGGGGATGCTATACTCAGTTCACACTATGTGTCATCTGGGTATGCTTATGCCGGGGGCTTGGACCGGTTCCCGGCATCCCTTTGGTGCATCCCTTTAAGCCTGAAGGCGTCAACGAAAGCGACACACCTTCGCTGATCTTCGCGTAGGTGGCACTTGGCCAAACCTCAAGGGTTCGGAGCCACCCAACTTCCCCAAATTCCCCCAGCAATTGGTGCCCTCTCTTTCTCACCACTTTTTGTGGTTGGGAGGGGAGACCCCTACTGAAATAGACTACAGAAAAAAAGAAAACGGGTACCCTTACTCCAACCTCTACTGGAGGACCTAGAAGTTGAACTTTGTTGAGAGGATGATGCTAGTGCAGGAACCCTGCCCACCTTTCCAGACCCCCCTAATTAATAATTAGGCATCTTGGGTCGCGTAAGGCATAAGCGACCTTGTTTACAAACAAGATCCGAGCTTTGTTGGGCTTGGGCGAATCTACTCGAGAAGTGAGGAAGGTTATTGACTTGTCCCTCCACATGAAAACCAATCACCCCTTGTTGAGTTGAATCAGTTATATACTGGCGTTTGCAGTTGAAACAATCACCCACACACACACACACACACGTTTAGCCTGGTGGCTCTTTGAGAGAAGATCCACAGGATGTCAGATGGTGCTTTCGATCCTTTTGAGTAGACCTGTTTGGCATCAATCAGTACCGAATTCACTCGTAGGCCATGTGCTTCGCAGGCGACTTGCTTTTATTTTGATCCCGCCCTACGGAGGGGGTGAAGGAGGTAATGGTAGTTTTGATTATGGTCCAACACAAATCGACTATGGGGGGTTAGACTCTGGGCAGTTTCCTCGCCGACCAAACGAGAGCCGGGAATGGAACAGGGTTTTGGGAATGAACCCGGGTTTCCCTCAAAGGAAACAATAGGGGGCTTGTTCATAGGGGTCATTCCCTTCCCTGCTGAGAACCAGCAAGTTGTTCAACAAGATTTCTTTGCGCACAAAGCGACTTGCGGTCTGAATCAAACACCCTCACCAGATCTTTGGTGCATTTTGCTTGGATGTTAGGACTTTAACTGTTTGCCAACTAATGGGTTTTCCATTAAACCACTACAAGTTAAACTTTTAGCAGGGGAGCAGAAAGCAACCGAGACACTCTTCCCTCCCGAAGCCAGTCGCCCTTTCCGAGGCCTCCGCAACTGCGGAGACCTTGCTGGAGAGGAGATGCGTTTTAGCGGCGCCTCGAAGCGCAGATTCTCGGGGCAGGCTGAAGAAAGCAAGAAAGAAAAGGGCGTTCAACTGTTCCCAAAACATGGTCAAAACATGTTTTTAAAGGGTATCCTTTTTTGTGGGTTTAGAGGAAAACCAACATGCACAACCACATCTATGTATTTGTGTGTGTGTGTGTGTGGTGTGTGTGTGTGTGTTTTTGGCGTGGGGGCGGGGGGTCCTACAAAAAGACGCACTCACGTGGGTGAAAAATGATTTGGTGTCTTGCTCTTTCCTTTCAGGTACCAACTGTCCCTTGAAGGAACTTCAGAGAGCAACCCTGAGCCGTTTTTTTGTGGTGCGACAACGTCCGAATGTATGTGGACCCTGAGGCTCGAACACCTGGTCATGGCCACCCCGGATTTCGGAGGGCTTGTTGGCCCATAACGTGGTCTAGATTCCTACCAACGTGGACTTAACTACAACCTGGAGGGATTTTCTGTTGGCCTTTCCCGCCAGGTGATCAAGGGGATTCTCTCTTGAAGGAGCTACACCTTTTTTTGGATGGGACACCCGCAAAGCACCCTTGAAGCAATGCCACTCGAAAGCTGATTTGCTTTGGCAGGCTCTGGTCAGTTTCTATATGTCTGTGTCTTGTTTAGGGGACCTCCAAGAGTGGTGTTTTGTCTTTTGGTTTCCCTTTAAAACAAGAACACCAAGCCTCAAAACAGAACAGCCATATGGCATCGTGGTTTTGGAGCGACTCTCAATGGACCAAACTCGGACTGAGAAAGTCAGACCATCGGCTGGTTCCGACTTTCTGGGTCCGACTTGCGACTCGATGCCCTTCCCTCATTCATAACTTGGGATTCCGGACTGTTACTAAAAAGTGGTTCCTCTTTACGAAGCGATCTAGTTCTCATGGGTCCTTCGGCTCGGGGCTTTAGAAATCCGAAGTCTGGTTTTCGGCTGGCCGCTGGCTCAAAGTGAAATTTCAAATTTCGGTGCTGGGTGGGCGTATCAGTGATGCCTGTGGTATACGTGTTGATGCTTTTGCAAGGGAAAGCTTTGCGGGGGTTGTGCTTAAAAGGAAAGCTGAGCGGCACCATCTTTTTTGTGGGTTCCCCATTTTGACAGATCCATTATATTTGTTCAACATCGCTTGGATGGAGATCGTGATCGCTGCAAGAGCCCAAAGAATGTCCCCAACAGCTCCAAAAACCTGCTCGGAACCTACCTGGAAGCCTCCATGCCCATAGATGTACCTGTTCTTGACTGCTATTGGGTTCGACTTTTAGACTTTAACTTTTGGGGAAAGCAAGGCGTTTTCCACTAAGCCCCCAACAAGTTAAACTTTTTGCAGGGGGGTCAACAGCAACCAAGTGTTAAGGGAAAGTCTTGTTGTGTTTGGTCCAATGCAACATTTTACTTGGTCCCTCGGTTCTTGAAATGGCGTTCCGGACGCTTGGTTCCCCTTGAGACCAAACTTCGGACCTTTGCAAAGGCAAGCCTTTGCAGTGAAAAAAGTTCACCTCTGAGCAACTGTTCACCATATCGCGAGGAAAACCATTGTGTTCGGGACAGGGGCGCCTTGAATGCGAAGTCTCTTTGCTTTGCTCCCGAGGGCCTTCTAGATCTCATGATGTTTCTGGTTGGATGACTTGAAGTGAAAGAGGTTTGTATGTTCTATCAAGGCCCTGGTTTGGCGGCTGTGAGGCCTCCGTTTCACCGGTTGATTTATGGATAAATCGAGAGGTTCGGGGTTAAAGTAAAAGGGCCCTCAAGTTGATGGTGGCAGCTAAGGGTCAAAGGCAAGCGCTGTCGCAGACCGCAGCACGGCCAAAATAGGGAGAAACCCAAACAGGTTGTTCTTTTTAGTGTTTAGTGGTAGTTTCCATTTAACCCACTCAAAGTTAAACTTTTAGCGGGGCATCTGAGGGCGGACAAGTGAAGGCTACCCTGAACAAAAGGCAGGCTCATTCGAGTCCTCGTTTGCACCTGGCCACACTCCGTTCAGGAAGATCTGAAGAAGGCCATGGTCGCCGAGCAGGAGAGCCTTCACGGGTCTTGTTGTTTTTTGCGTGTCTTGTTTTGAGTCTCCCTTTCTTGGTTGCTTTCAAGGTCGTGAGTTGTGTTTCACCAGATGCCCGCCAAGGAGCCGAGTCCGCTCGCTCAGCGTTGAATGAATGAAATGAAATGGTTGCTTTTGAGGGATAAAGGGAAACCTCCCCGGGTGTTTGGAGCGCCCCTGTTCAAAGCGGACACGGAGGCTTGGCAAATGACAAAATGCTGCTGCTTTAAGGGCCAGAACATTTGACAGCGTGTTGTGGCTCTGGACATATTAATTCTGGTTTGCGGCTTTTTATCAAGGGAGGCATTTGAAGTGATATCACGGAGATGGCAATTCATCCAGTTTGACACAGCTGATGCTACTTCGTCCAAAACAGCAACAAGGGAAGAGGCTTTGATTTCCGGACCCTCTAGTGAATAGACTGGAGAAAGGGGCGATTGTGAACTCAACCTCGCCCCACCATTTCCGGCGGCTTGTTGACGTTGCGCCAAACAACAGGGCCCCTTACAAACCGCAACACCTGTGCACAGGTCAATGGTGGATGCTGGGACAACAACAGATGGTGCGACACTGGGAAAAGTACCTCAAGGAATCTTGGCTTTCCTTCTACGCCACCTGACCATGGTTTTCCTTTACCCCTCATTTTGCGGGGTTCCCTTCGAAGAACCAAAGAAACCACCCCATTTTTTGCCGGTCTGGGTAAGCCGCTTACGAAGCCTTCAGGCCGCTTCCGGCGTCGAAAAACGGGTGAGGAGAGGGCGACGCAGTACCGCGGCACCATCTCCTCCGTGGTCTCCGCCGCAAAGAGCTTGGCCAACTCCGTCACCTCAGGCGCTCGCTGTTTCGGCCGAAGAAAAAAGAACCGGCCGGAAGATCAACTGAGTGAAGATGTGTGTTGTGTGTTGTTTGTTGTTTTGTTTTTTGTTTTTTGTTTGTTGGGTTGGAGTCAATTTGTTGTTGTTTTCTTTTGTCTGTGTGTTTTGGTTTCATTGGTTTTGGCGGTTTCTGAAGCCAAAAAACAAATTGAGAGCTGGTTTTCTTCCAAGAACAACATTGAAGTAAGCAGGTGTCTTCAAACAAACTAGTGTGTTTCTTCAAACATGGTGCTTCTCTGAGGGGTACTGGAACCAATTGATGAACCAATCTGGGAATAGTTTTGGCCAGTCTCCAGCAGTTTTGGCCAGGGCGTCATCCCGAGGGGCTTGGGGGGTCTTCAGTTTGTAATCACTATTTGCTTGATGGGAACCAGTGGTTGTTTTGGTTTGCTGGTGGAAAACACAAGACGGGGTCGACCGTGATGACCCGGTTTTTGTTGGACTTGTTGGCAAAGCGACTCGGCGCAGTTAACGAAAACAATCGAACCTGCTGGGAGCAAGGTTCCAAGGAATGGGGGTGACTCTCAGCGCAAAGCCCTCTTGGTGTTTTCTTGTCTCATTCATCAAACCTTGGCCGTGGCCCCAAACAAGCAGAAGGATCCCTCAGAGCCTACACTTCGTCAGAAAGGTTTCTTCAAATCTGAGTTCTTGTTCAGGGAAGGCCGGAAGGGCCACCATTTTCAGGGGCACTCAGGACTGGGCTGTCCTGAGGACCCCTGAAACAGAGGGCCAATTGAGAAACACTCGCGACGTTTTGCTCGCGTGTTTTTTTTTGCAGGTTCGTTTAGGCCGTATCTTTTGAAACATCGGTTTTTATGCAAGTCTTTTGCAGCCACAGCTCTGCCCATGTGGTGAGCTCTCCTGGTAAAACGAGCTCACTATGAACAAGGCGCTCGAATTTTGTGGATCCCAACCCCGTATTTCATGTCTTGAACACAGGGTAAACAATTGTTGAACGATAGGATGTTTGGACGACACATTGATTCTTCCTCTGACCTAATCCACCAAGTGCCTTTCCAAGACTTCGCCAGCCCTGACAACTCGAATTCGGGCCAATCAGAAGAAATGGTCATGGTCGAACGTTGGGGTCTCGGGCCACCTTCATTCGCTTTCTGTGAGACCAAGGGAATCCCTTCAAAGTTATAAGGTACTCAAAGCTGTTTTTCTAGAACCATGCCAATGGTTGCTTTTGCGTCTGACCTAGATCGCTTTGTAACTTGTTGGATTTGACTACAACTTTCCTTTCTTATGGAAGCAACAGGTGTTATGTGTATTTAGCCTGGTCACTTTGACCAAGCTAGACTTGGGGGCCTCCATTTCTCGAACAGGACATCAAGGGGGGTCTAGGAACAGGTTTCCTGCTGTGGATATGAAGGCGTCGGCACCAGTTCCCTTGACTTATATTGCGTGTGGCTCAAAATTAAAGAGAAAAAGGGTTATGGCAGGTTCTAGTCATTGGTTCCATTTGAAAAAAAAGTGTTATTTTTTGGTACATGTTGTTGAGCCACAGCCTTATTGTGCTGGGGGACAGGGGCAACCACGCCCTGCTGTTTGCATATACAAATGGGCGAGCTCAACCCCCCCAAAAGGTCAAGGATTGAATTCCAAGGAGGACCTATGATTATTCCATCGAACTGTGAGTCTCAGGTGTCCGTCTCATACTTGCCATGAACAGGCCAACGGAACCAGTGCTGTGGGAAATGACTACTGTGCTACCACTGTTAGGCCTTTCCAATAGGGCAGTAACTTTCCTATCACAAAGGCATGTGCACCAATCCTGCTTGCCACACCCCCACCCAGAACCTGTTGCTGGTGGAAGAGAGGATGCCCTCGATCTCACTTCCTCATTGGATTGGCTGAAAAAACAACTGGAACCAACCCGCTCATGACAGCAAGATGTATACAAACCGTGCTGACATCAAAGTCTCATTCGCCCGTTGTTGATTTGGGGAGGACAACCTCTGAGACTACTTCGTCGACAATATCCTTTTGCGCAGCCCGTGTGCTGTTCATGGCACGCAAGAAGTTTGGACTTGTTTTGGCAAATCCAGGAAAAAAACATCGCCCACAAAAGAGACACACATTGAGGAGCCCCCATTTGCACGGCTCCTCTAACAGCAGGCAAGGAGCTATATGATATGGCTGCAAAACTACGGTGCTGAAACTATTGCTTCAAAACAACTGAGCATCCAAAGCGAACGGGCAGACAAGTTTGTTGGGTCATCAGGGGTTTTAGAAAACCTTTTGCTGACGACAGTTCCCCATGATTGTCGATGGCTTGCCTGGAAGCATTGGGTTCGTTCACGTTTGCCTTTTCGAGGGTGAGGGATGTATCTTTTCGTATTTTAAGAGAATCTCCATGAAACCCCTTCTGGTTGCAAAAACTGGGTTTGACGCCATGCAGGGATCGGAATCCCACTTTCACCCAGATTTCAGTTACCCCACTGGGATGTTCAACCCACTTGCTAGAATTTAGCCAGTTAGAACCATGGTGATAATATTGTAGGCGACTGCTCGCATTTTCATGGTTGTTGTTGGGAAGCATTTTACGTTTTTTCTCTAGTGGTTTCGGGGCTAAAATTCAGTCTTTTGCTCGCCTTCCAACGTTAACCAAGGTTTCCCCACCTGTAACTAAGGTCACCGGTCGTAGCAGCGAGTGTCGCGTGTCAGGCAGTGCCAACGCCGATGGCCTCAGCGAGCGCCGGGCGCAGCTCAGCAGTCGGGCGGAAGGTCTGAAGGACGGGCGGAAGGGCCAGGGGCGGATTCGGGGTGGAGTCAGACGTAGATGGGCGAAGCCGGTGTTTTTCTAGGGGGTGATTCCTTTTCCATTCTTTTCAACCATCGTTCTTTTCAAAACCCGGCTGTTTCCCCTGGTTTTTGATGCTTTCCTGAAAAGAAGGATCCCTGGAAAGAATGGGGAAGGTACCCCTAGAGTTTTGGTTTTGGTTTTGCTTGAAGCCAACCTGAAAAGGGTACTCTCAAAAGCCAAATTCCCAAATGTCTAGTAGTCATTTCCTGTTTAAATTGCCGAAATGAGGCCCACGCGACGCTCACACACGCTGGGGAGGGCCGTGGACTGTTGTGAGCTCGTCAAGCTTAACCAGAATTGGGTGTGCCTTTTGTTGAGTGTTCCGTTTTTTGGCGGCTTTAAAAGAAAACCAAAAGGACATCCACTATTTTGTGGCTCCCCTAACCCCCCCCCCCCAAATTAGTGGTTTAGACCCTTGCCTAGCCTTGCCCTGCTCTTCTGAGAGCTCTGATCAGTCTGGCCAAGCTATTACGTCTGCGTGAGGCCAAGCAAAACACACTTCCGGATGGTGATCACATGGCTGTGGGTCAAATCCAATGGGATCCCATTTTGGGGTAGGTTCGCCACTCGTTTTAGAACCTATTTTAGTGGTGATTGGGATGTTGACTGGGGGTAGGGTTTTGACCCACGGCCACATGTACTCCAAAGTGGCACGTGGAACTTCATGGATTCCGTGGAGGTTGCTTCGTTTGGTATGGTCGCATGCCAAAAGCACCACGGGTTTCTGAGGCTTAAGGATGGTCTTTGCTTCAGCTGGTGCCTTGCAAGGCGGCTGTTCCGGTCCTTCCTGTCGTGGTCCACTTCCCTCATAAGCGGGTGGGTTTTTCAAGGATACCAGCGGCCGTCAAACAATTGTCAGCTGATTTAGAGGAATCGAATCCTAACCATGCGGTTTCTGGAAGTATCCTTCAAGAAATCGTATTCGGAAAGAAAGCCAAGTGCAAAACCAAGAGAAACCACCCACTAGGTTTCTTTGGTGAATTTTGCTTGGATGTTAGGACTTTAACTTTTGCCAACTAGTGGGTTTTCCCCATTGAACCACTGAAAGTTAAAAACTTTTAGCAGGGGAGCAGAAAGCAACCGAGGTAAGTACGAGGTAACTTGTCTAACTCAGAGAGGTACCAATTGCAAGTCTAACTCAGTCTACGAGAAAGTCTAACTCAGTGAACTCGAGGCACTCCTAGGGATTTGGGGCGCTTCGACGAATGCCTCGGCTCATTGGTCTCAGGAGCTGCTGACGCAGCTGCCGGACGAGGCGCAGCTGTCGCAGGAGATCGCTGCGGCGGAGGAGGTGCAGCGCGAGCTGCTGAAGCAGCTGGAGCAGAACAAGGAGGGACCCACCAGGGTTGGACTTTGTTGAGGAGACTGAAATGCAGATATTTTTTGGGGTTTTCGGATTTTCTTGACTGAAAATTGCATCGACTTTTTTTTGCGGGTCAGATCTGCCTTTCCTAAATTGAGTACTGGTTGAGCATTGGTTTGGTGCTACCTTAGTACTGGCTTAGTATTGTTTCGGTTGTCTTCGGTCCTCTTCGGTCCTCTCTGCCTAGTACTGGTTTTGAAATGTTTGAGTATTCCTTTGACTGCTCCAGTTCTGCCAGTTCTGTTTAGAATTGGTTTAGTATTGGTTTAGTAGCCGTTTGATATTTGGCGGCTGAGCACTTTTACATAAAGGAGATGTAAGGAAATTGGCAGTTTGGGGGATGAGTATGGTTTGCTAGACATGGCTGGCTTCCTTAGTACTCAGAAGAAAACATTGCCGGACAAGAACAGACTTCGTGGCAGGCGCAGCGCGTTCGCAAGGTCAGTTGCAGGTTTCCTGGCATGCGCAGCGCTTGCCGACCCTAGTTGCAGCTTCGCGCGGTTACGCGCTGTTGCGCGCTATTTGCCAGGCTGAGGCTTTGACAAAGAAGCGCAAGCAGTGACAGGTGAGGAGTTCCACGCAATCAGCCGTAGGGCAAGAAGTCCTTCACTGCGCAGACAAAACCACAAACACGAAAGGGTCCACTTACCAGACATGCCCTGCATCACAATCACACACTTTACGTGCGAACGGTGCCTGCTGGTTCTCTGTGAAGCAGCCGCAGCGCACGCTCATCAACGCCTTCTGAAGGGCAATGAAGCCATCACCGCCCACAATCTTTCCCAGTGAAAGACGGGTTCATTTCTAAAGATGAACTTCTTCCCGGTTTCATGTTAGCTTGCCAAGTCTGCGGCGTCCAAGCTTTGGCTTGGGAAGCGGCACAAAGTCTAAATGACTTTTCAATACCCAACCAATCCTTGCAACGTAAGGGGTCAAACGAATTTTGCCACTCTGTACCTATCTCTCTCCCTCTCTCTCTCTCTCTCTCTCCCTCTTTCTCCCTCTCTCTCTCTCTCTATCTCTTTCCTTCGCTGTGTTTGCACGGAGACGCGTGTGCGAATTGGAGATCGCAATTATCTTGCACAAGCCGTGCAATCACTGATTGAGCCTAGTTGCGAGGTCGCAGCAAAGGCAGGCCCAGCTGAACTCGCTCTTGCTCTCCTGTTTCTTGGTTTGTCGTCCTGCAGCTGCATGACAGAGACTCAGAAACAAACCCGAAAGGGAGCGCTGAGCAGGAACTCAAAAACAAACCCGAAAGGAAGCGACGCAAGAAGGAAAGAAGCATCGTGGCATCGTTGGCCGGGAAACAAGTTAGACGACAAAGAGCGAAAGAAAAGTGGTCTCGCCGAACCATCACCTGAGCAACACGAAAAGAACAACCCGTTCTTTTTGTTTTTGTAGCACCGTTAGAACATGACTAGGATGACGAGACAGGCAAAGAGACACGACGCAGACAGCCGCAAAGACAGAGACTTTGCACAGAACTTTTGGATGGTCTCGAGCCCAAACACGAGCCCGACCACCCCCCCGCAAAGAAAGAAGACCAACGAGCCGAACCGCGCTCAAACCCGCCCCCCCCCCCCTTCCTCACACGCGCCCGAGGATCAGCTATAGAGGCTAGTCGGGGTACAGAACAACATGGCCATCATATACATAGTATTCATATTCACTACTAGATGAGTATATTGATATGTATAGCCGTTTTTTTTTGTTTTTGTTTATACTAGTTCGAGGTTTATGACATCCCATTCACGAATAGCTCGTTGCAAGGTGAGTTTCGTCCCCCTCCCCCCCGCACACCCGCTGTAGACGAGTGCCCAGCCCCATGCAGCGGATTCGTTTCGGAGGAGCACTTGGACGGCTTGCGGAGGGCGCGCGAAGAGCGCCGCATCTCGGAAAGGAGTTGGCCTTTTCATGGCGGCCTTGGCACGCCGAATTTGGACCTGTTGCCTTTCTTAGAAAATTCCTGCATGGTTGCTTCCAACCACAAAGTTAGCAGTTAGATAGTCATTCAGGCCTAGGTGTGAGGTTGGAAGGGACTCCAGGAGGAAGCTTACCACTCTGGCCCTCGAATTGAGGCAAGCTCATACCTCCCCGTACAATTGGAGCATCATGTTTTGGATTTCAATCTTAGAGGAGATTCCGTGCTGGGTGGTTTTTACAGGGAGAGACCTGGGAACCCTGAGCCAGGTACGTTTAAGGAATGGCTGGGTTCCTGTTGACCCAGGACCCGAGAAACAGACACCGCCCAATCCGCCAGGCCTATGGGCCCGTCACATTTGATATCATTTGATACTGAGTTTTGGCACTCCTTGGTCCTTTGACAAGCAGGATGTATACAATTTGTTGACTAGATATATACATATATGTAGAATAAAGAAAAAAGGAAAAAACTATTCCTTCTTCCTGGCATGTGTTTTTTGAGTTCGAGTTTTCGTTCCGTCCGCACCCATCGGCCAATGCTCACCCTTGATTAAACAAGCGCTTCCTTCAAGACAAACTCGCCAAAAAGGAAAATGGGGGGTGTCTGAAGTCAGCGTCAACTGCACTATTTGAGCGACCGTCATGATGGAGGCTCCTTCAGATTCCCCCCCATTACTGCAATGTTTTCCAGGTCCGGTCAATTGATTGAAATGTTCCGGTGGTTCGGAGTCCGGAGGGAGTATTTGTATGGGGCCCAAAGTCAACTCATCTCAGTAGTCTCAGCCAGCAATAAGCAATCAGACATGTTTCATTTGGTGTTCAAGGGATGGTTACCTTGGTGGCCTGCCATAATGGTTGGGTCCAGGTGAGTCTTACTGGGATGTTTTTCCCCCGCGTCGCAAGTAGGTTGTAACTATGGTCATAGCTAGGAAACTTGGGTGAGCCCGCATAGACTTACGTGTGGCATCTGCATGTTCCTGCTTTAACCCGCAGAAGGTTGACATTTTGCAGGGGTCGGATCAGCCTGGCCAAGGGAATACCTTCCTCCCACAAACGTGGCACCTGACAGGGATTCCATTGAAGACAGATTTCATCTTCCAGGTACCCTCCCATAGATGCCATGTTAGCGGGAGGGAGGAAGGGTAGTTGTTACACGGTACTCAAATGGAACCTCATGGAGTGGTGTTTTGTTCAGGCCCCCCTTTTCCAAGGGCCCTCTTTTGAGTAACACTCAGTTAGCACCTGCTATCCTTTTGGTTTGCCCTTAAAAAGGCAACCAAGAAAGGGTTCCCCCAAAAAAGAGACACCCAGACTGCCATCTGATTGCTACTCACTTTTGGTCTCCACACCTCAGACGAGTCGCTCGCTCACTCATTCGCTCGCCTCGAGGCAAAGAGGAGGAGCGGCTCACTGCAGCGCTGAACTGCGCCCCAGTTGCCCAGTGGTGCCCTTTTTCTTGTTGTGTTTTTCCACAATGTCAAGTCAACAACCAAAAAGAAGGATGCTTTTTTTGTCCCATGGAAATCAACTGGGCATCTGAGGCACGGAGCAGAAGATGGTCTCGCAGCTGGCGGAAGAGGCGCTCGCTCAAGCCGTGGGAATACTGTGGAGAGACGAAATCCATTTCGCACCACGTAAGAAACCTATGATGCTTCCCCTGGAAATACCAACAAACAATGGTTTCCTATGGTTGAGGTAGTGCAGGATTTTGTCCGTCCACAGTAGGGGTGGTTCCCCCATCGACGATTTGGGCAAAGCTAAGAGGGTAAATGTGGGATGTGCAAGCATCTGAAAGCATCTGAAAGCAAGCCAGAGCAGAAGATTTGATTTTCAGTCGTCCCCCTCCGAAGTGGGGCTTCCGCGATGAATCCAGGGCATCTGAGTCAGAACTATTTGGTTGCAAGGAGATACATTCCCCTGTTGGCCTGTGAAGCGAAGACCATGACTCTGCCCAAAATGAGCCCACAAGTAAGTTCCCACCAAACCTCACTCCCTGAGTTCCTGGACTTTGCTCAAGTGGAAACACCATTTTAGGGGCCAACAAGTTTGGACTCGTGATTGAAAGTGAGAACCCGGGCTGGACAATCCGGGCTGTCACAACCGCAGGGTTGTCACCTGCACCTGACGCCGACGCTGGTGGATGGCCTGCATTGTTTTTTTCCTGGGCCGCCAGTAGCTGGATTTCATGTTCCGCCTGAGTCAGATGACTATGAACTCCTCAGTGCCGGGCAACAACGAGGTACCCATCAAGCCATACTTTTTTGAGTTAGGGAGCCTTTAGCGGACATTGTTCACATGGGATTGTGCACTCCTGGAAGATCCCTGCTTCGTGTCCCTTGTCCTTCTGAACTTGTTTCGACCATGGAAAACGATGACTAGGTCCCCCCGGTAGTGCCTTTTTACCCTTTCTTGCCGGAGTGTTCCGCTACTAAAAATAGACTACAGAAAAAAGTTGGTACCCTTATTCTAGTCTCTCTACTGGAGGACCTAGATGAGGGGCCTGAGCCTCTTCAGCGGAAGCTATGAACAGGCCTTCCCAAGCTTGCGAAAAGGCCCGATCAGCTTCCAAAGTTGAAGAGGAATTCTCCAAGGAGACAGCGTGCGTCAAGGGCGCCCCACAGGGTTTTTCTCCCTTGTTGGGACAACCGCCATTGCTTGCGTTGCGAAAGGGGGGGGGGTCGGGGGGGGGGGCCAAAAACCCCCGCCCCCAAAAAAATGGACGCGTATATAGCCTGTTTGAAGATTGTCGCCATGCAGATTGTCCTTGTAAGATTTCCCGAACAAAAGGGCGGTTGGTTCGACCACAATGTTTCTTAAACATGTGTAGTGATTCCGCTTGGAAGCATGGCCAAGCCTCACGCACGGGTTTATACCAGGACAACCCTGATTCCTTTGTAGGAAGTCCTTTGATCTCATGTTTTCTGCTTTCTCCTTTCCCAACATCGCGAGCTGCTTGTTGCGGCGATTTTCCTCAATTTCCCTGTGAAGCCATCACAGGGGTTGTCTGGTTGGATATCGGAGAGGCGCCTCCAGTGCTGAACAACTTTGGAAGGGCTTTCCCTTCAAAGCAAAAGAACCATTGTTCTCGTTTCCCCATGGAAGCAAAAACCGCAGTTGCTTTCCCATTCGCTGTCAGGACACGGCGAGGCAGCAGTCTGAGGCGGGGTGCTGGGCTGAAACTGGTTCCCATGTGAAGCTGGAGTTTACCCAGATGTCACATTGTCCAGAAGAGTCCAAGCCACGGATGCTGGGGTTTCATTTGGTTTCCCTTTGGAACCAGAAAGAAAAAGGTACCCTCAAGAAAAGACGGACCCATGTATGTCCTCACTCCCTGACTTTAGACGATAGACATTTTGGGAAGACCATCGTGGCAAGCAAATAAGTTGAGGCTTGTGTTGGTCAGGAAGTGAGCGTCCGAGAAAGTTGGCATTTGAGGTTAAGGAGGCACTTCAAGACGCATTGGCGAGATGTGTCGAGATAGTATCCAGATCAAACTGGCTATTTGGACGAGGATGGAACGACTTGACCTTGAATGGAATACATTATGGTTGTGGTAGATGGGGTTGAGGTGGCCAATTGATGTTCAGCAAACAAGGTCTCACTCACTTCTCCAGTTTCCGGACTTGAACCTTTTTGAGAAGATCATGTTCGAGGCATACAAACAGACTGGTTCTGACCAATCCACTCAGGAAGGGAGTCTCCTTTGTTCCCTTTGGCCACTGGGCAGAGTAAGGTCAAGTTGCTAAAACTCACTCACTGAGTTCCTGAACTTTACACTTCTTGGGAAGACCAGTTTAGCGGAAAGCATCTGTTTTACACTTGTTTTGATCAATCCAGGAAAGGGATATATCCCATGTTTGGTAGACAGATCCCCAAGGGCCCAACCATCGCTTCAATTGAACATCAGATGTGTGGCTGTATCTCGACTTGTTTGTTTTCCAGACAGATGGGTTTCCAGCGCCCTGAATGAGGCCACGTTGAGTTACAGCATCTACCAGCTAGCTTCCGCATAGCATGTTTTCCTCGAACTCGCACAGGGAATGCAGCAACACTTCTGGTAGTTCTGTTCCAGACCTTGTAACTTGCCTTGTTGATCGCCACAATTGCGACAACTTGTGGTTGTAGCGCACTTACATTGTAGTCACATTCCGTGTGTAACTTGGTGATGTGTCACTTGGTTTGTGACTTGTTTACTTGAAGCACATTGGATGCCCCAAGGGGTGCAATTAAACAAATCACACACACACACAAGCGCGCACACATACGTACACACGTACACACGTACCCACGTGCACACGTACACACGTGCACACGTGCACACGTACACACGTACACACGTACACACGTAGACACGTACGCACGTACGCACGTACGCACACGTACACACACGTACACACACACACACGTCCACACACGTACACACACGTACACACACGTACACACACGTACACACACACACACACGCACACACGTACACACACGTACACACACGTACACACACGAGCACACACGAACACACACGTACACACACGTACACACACACACACGTACACACACGTACACACACACACACACACACACGTACACACACGTACACACACGTACGCACACGTACACACACGTACACACACGTACACACACGTACACACACGTACACACACGAGCACACACGAACACACACGTACACACACGTACACACACACACACGTACACACACGTACACACACGTACACACACGTACACACACGTACACACACGTACACACACGTACACACACGTACACACACGTACACACACGTACACACACGTACACACACGTACACGCACACACACACACACACACACACACACACACACACACACACACACACACACACACACACACACACACACACACACACACACACACACACACACACACACACACACACACACACACACACACGTACACACACACACACACACACACGTACACACACGTACACACACGTACACACACGTACACACACGTACACACACGTACACACACGTACACACACGTACAGACGTAAACGCGTAAACACGTAAACACGTAAACACACGTAAACTCGTCCGACCGCACAACCCGATCGGTGAATTGCGACAAGTTGCAGCGGTTCCCCTGCAGCCCTACTTGCAATGTATAGGGGCTCCATCTAGATGATATCAGATATATCAGGGTTACTTGGGGCTTAGGGTTTCCTTGAGAGGTTTGGTTTTCGTCCCCAGCCTCCCGGGTCCTAAGTACCCCATATTTACGGGTTTGGGTTTGGTTCAAGGGGATTCGTCAATCATAGGTTCCTCAAATCCGCAAATTATGAGGTACTTGGACCTCCCCGGGCCCGTTCCGGGTTCCTGCCGAGGCCACGCAGCGTTTGGCCTTTGCGGTGGCGGACGTGGCCAAGCAGTTGCAGGACCCTTGGGGTCTGCGACAAGTAGACGAAACACGAAACAGGGATTTGGGTGTGGGTCAAAATTAAACCACTAGGGGACCACAGGTTTTAGTCTTTGGCTCCACTTACCGGGGTGCCATTTTGAGTACCCATTTTTGACCCACAGCCATTTGAGCATCCGAATTTCTGTGTAGAGATGTGGCTGTGGGTCAAATCCAATGGTACCATTTTGGGGTGGGTGCACCACCCATTATAGAACTTATTTTAGTGGGGATTGGGATGTTCACTGGGGGTACGGGCTCTTGCCCCATGGCCATGTGGGTCATTGAAAAGATGACCACCAAACTGCAAGGTTAGGAAAGTGGCTTAGCTGTCTTGGGTGTGCTTGGTTTGACATTGAGCTGATTGCCTCAATTGCTGCAAACCAAACGGGGACGGACATGAACATTGTGCCAGATCCCCTTTTAATCCCCAGCGAGACAAATGAGAAATCCCGAAAAATAGGGGAGGTCCCCTTTGGATGGGAAAGGTGTCTAGAAAACATGATAATCAACAGAGCGTTTAGGCAATATGAATGGGGGGACGGTATCGCTTTTGTAAATTGACCGCCAGTCAGTCACGGCCATTGGACAGGTTGTGACCTTTTAGGGGAGATGTGGTGTCCGATTTTTGTTGGTTTACCTTGGCGTCAAAAAGATGGCGAGAACTGAAGCAAGGAAGAACATTGGCATTGGTGTCCCTCACTCCCTGACTTCACGGACTTTACTCACTTTTTGGGAAGATCATTTGGCTGTACCAAGAAGTTCATACTTTGTCTGGCCAATCCACTCGGGAAGTGAGGTCCTTTTTCTTAAAACCCCCTCTTCAAGTGGCCACATCTCTACTTGTGCCAATCGGGTCTTTGGAGCAAAGCCAGGAGCAGGCTTGGAGCCAATCTATGGCCAATATGGGTGTGTATTTGTTTGAGCGCACCCTTTTTTGGGTGGTTTGAAAGGGAACCCAACAGGACACTCACCCAGTTTGAAGGTTCCTCCATTTTAAGGGAAAAAAAAAACATACGTTCTTTTAGGCCCACCTGTGACACTGCAAAATCTAAGGAAGTGACAACCTCCTGGTTCCATTTCGGCCGAATTTCGCTTCGGTCAGGAACCGGAGAGCGACCGCACGGCTGAGGCGGCCTGGGAGTATCTCTTTTGGTCAATAGGCAAAGACGGAGAATGTGGTCCCTGGGCTCTTTGCATCACGGCTTTCTTGGCGAGTTTAGATATGTTGATTTGCAAAATACGGTTTTCTTGGCGAGTTTAGATATTTTGATTTGCAACACCTGTTAAGTGGGAGGGCAAATCTTATGCCTTTGTTTGATGATCGTCATCCATCGGCTACATCCTCTGTCATTCTTGCTCGTGGTTGAAAGCTAGTTTGCCACACTGGACTCAGTTCCTCCCCCCCCAACACGCGTCACATGTCAGTGGGGGACATGTTCTCCGAGGGAGGAATGCTTCCGTCCTTATTGTAGCTGCAGAATCCATACTTAATCAATCGGTTTGTCAAAATAAGGATTTGGAGCCCCCAAAATGGAGACCGGGGGATTGTGGTAGTGCGCTTGTTGTGTGAATTTGAGGTTTGATATCTTGAGCAGGCTGTACGCTTGCTTTGCTGAAGAGGACTGGGAATTGCGAGTTTTGAATCCCTCAACGGGGTCCTCTACATGGATTGTTGCAAGCATGCAGCTAGCTGCTCATCTGTTTGTTCTTGTTTGGCATTCGAATTGACCTAGAGTTCAAGTACTTTATAGAAGGACAAGCTGGTCGGTTCTTTAATTTGCCTGCCCCTTAAACGGAGTGAACAAATAATAGAAACTCAAAAGGAAAATGTATGTTTTGTTTGATTGGTGTACTAGTTAACAATTCGCGCTAAGCTTCAATCATATGTTGGTAGGCAATCAATTTCAAGTCATAGCTTATATTATAAAGAAAATAGTAGGTCCGATTCAAGTAGGATTTTAATTAAATTTTAAGTAAGTAGCGTCTAATAAGGAAAGACAATCGTGTTTTGTTTCCCCTGAAAAGGAGTGCACAACCAGTAAAAGCCCGCGGACTCCCATGAACATTCCATTCCAATAGGTTTACAACATTTTTGTCAATAAGATTGCAATTGGACTTTGAGTTATCAATTCACTCATTCATCACATGCTCATTTAATAATTAGTTCACTCATTTGCGTACTCTCATTCATTGAATGCCATTAATCCATAAATATCTTGACTTATCCAGAAATTCCTGTATTTATGCATTCTTTCACTCACTCACTCACTCACTCACTCACTCACTCACTCACTCGCTCACGCTCACGCTCACGCTCACGCTCACGCTCACGCTCACGCTCACGCTCACGCTCACGCTCACGCTCACGCTCGGTCACTCTTTCACTCACTCACTCACTCACTCACGCACTCACTCACTCACTCACTCACTCACTCACTCACCCACTCACCCACTCACCCACTCACCCACTCACCCACTCACCCACTCACCCACTCACCCACTCACCGACTCATTCATCGAATGCCCTGTATTAATTCGCTTGTGTATCGCATGCCATGCATTGGTTCACTCATTCATCGCATGCCATGTAATCGTCCACTCACTCACTCGCACGCTCGCTCACTCACTCACTCACTCACTCACTCACTCACTAACTCCCTTTCTTCATTCATTCATTAATCTCATTCGTTCGTTTGTTCGTTCGTTCGTTTGTTCATTCATTCATTCATTCATTCATTCATTCATTCATTCATTCATTCATTCATTCATTCGTTCATGCATTCATCCACCCATCCACCCATTCATTCATTCATTCATTCATTCATTCATTCATTCATTCATTCATTCATTCATTTGTTCCTTCGTTCCTTCGTTCCTTCGTTCCTTCGTTCCTTCATTCCTTCATTCCTTCATTCGTTCATTCATGCATGCATTCACTCATTTGTTCTTTCATTCATTCATTCATGGATTGATTGGTTGGTTGATTGATTTATTGATTTGATTGATTTGATTCATTCATTGATTGATTGATTGATTGACTGATTGCTTGCTTGCTTGCTTGCTTGCTTGCTTGATTGATTCATAAATTTGCTTCCGCACAAACTGATGCATGTTTTTGAATGCAAGTCTTTCATGCATCCATCGAACGCAATCCAATCAAATAAACATACATTAATGTATTCATCCAGTCAGGGCAGTTTTTCAGTTACTCGTTCAATCAGTTAGTGATTTAAGCAATCAATCAATCAATCAATCAATCAATCAATCAATCAATCAATCAATCAATCAATCAATCAATCAATCAATCAATCAATCAATCAGTCAATCAGTCAATCAGTCAATCAGTCAATCAGTCAATCAGTCAATCAGTCAATCAGTCAATCAGTCAATCAATCAATCAGTCAATCAGTCAATCAGCCAATCAGTCAATCGGTCAATCAGTCAATTGGTTTGTGCAGTGAGGAGCTCCAGCTTGAGACGTGAGTCGCCGTCGAAAGGGTTAGGGAGCTCCCCAGGCTGGATCCCACAGCCATTCTAGGTTGACTTAAGCTCTGTTTATGCTCTTTCGGCCTTGTTTTGATGGCTCGCGCTTCAAAGCTGCTGCTTCTATTCGCGCTTGCTTCGCAGCGCGTCGCCATTATAGGTTAGCCGATAGCCAGAAGACTGAAATTTATCATCTCTTGCCTTGCAGACGAATTGATTCCGACCCATCCCGGGTTTCACGAAGTACGTGTGCGGGGCTTGTCCAGTAGCATCGAACAGCTTGGTCTCCGCTGCATCCTCAAGTCTGGAAGACTTTTCATAGAACATGTAAAGGTTGATCAAATCGGCGGGATCTGTCGCAAGACTGTCCTCAATGCCCCTGCGGAGGGAGCTCTTTCGGCCGTCTCCAGCCAGGGTCAAGTCCCACTGCTGCTTGCCACTCTGCGCAGCAAACTTGATCTTCTTCATGAACACTTCCTTTGCTTCAGGCGACAAGTGGGCCTGCTGCCATGGGCAAGGCGCCGACGCTGGCGCTTCATTGGAAAGCTCCGCGGAGATCACCCATACGCGGTGGGACTTGTTCGCCACTCCATTGAAGCTCAAAGGCCGGAAGTTTTTCGGCACACCATCAGACGAGGCAATGTCAATCTTGCACGTCTTACCTTGGATGACTCTTGCGGGTCAATTTGGCTAGACTTCCTGTCTAGCACCAGAAGCTCCAAAGGGCCTTCACCTTGGCCAGAACTGTCCCTCGAGCTTCTTCCATCTTCTGCACCCGCGCCTCCAAATCGCCGTCTTCTTGAGCTGAGGAGTCTGCACGGGCAAAGCATGACACGTGACCGATTCATGAAAATCAAGACAGCGCCACTACCCATCTACGTTTCCCTTTCCTTCCAAACAGGACAGATGGGCAGCGCCTATCCACACGTTTGCGCTGGATAAGCGCTGCTGACTGCCAATCGAAAACACCGGCTGATAAGGTCTTCTTCCGTGTGTGTTTGCGCCTAGGTTACTTCTGAGGAAGGCTACGTGCTTGCAGCGTGTTCAGTGTTCCTGGCTCGCTTGCCTGCTATACGACCTTCTGCCTAACGTCAAGCCCCACAGGCAGCTTTGCCGCAAAAGGGGAAAGTCTCATAATTCTGTTCACAGGGACTTGAGGAGCATTTTTGAAAGGGGCCGCGGCCCTCATGCTCAAGCTTTTAGATGCTCCGGTGGTTAGCCCTTTGCTTCACATGGTTGGCCGCCTGGCAAGCTGAGCAATCACGCTGGGATCACAGCTGTGTTTGCAACTGCACGTGCCAGCTGGAACCCATAGTGTGCCCGGGCAACAGCTTCTTTTGAGAACTGTTAAAGGGGGCATTGTGGGCTCTGGCTGGCTCTCTCTTCAGTGTTGGACGCAGGGCATTTCAGAAGTCAGTGTCATTGGTCAAGTCTGCTTGGGTGAAGTGGAGCAAAGCAGAGATCACTGAAGAAGGCAGTGGTGACAGCCTGGCGGTGGAGGATTTGCAAAGCAAGGCACAGGAGCAACTGCGGCTGATTCGAAGTCGAAAAGCCTTGAGGGTTTTAGATGTCGCTGCCGGTGGACGCTAGGGTTTTCTTGCTGTATGACGTGGCTCCGCATGATTTATACCATGAACGGATTGTGCTGGCTAGCTGTCCTTGCGGACGAGGATGGTACATTGTGCTGACCCCTGACATGGACGTTTACCCTGAGCAGATCTCTTTGGAAAATGGTGACATCAGAAATATTCTCAGCTTCCCCTTTGAGGGTTCTGTCCAGCGAGGCAGGGCAGCTGCCCTTCGGGGGAAGCGACACTAGGTCCAACTGAAATGGAACCAGGCTATGCCGCCATAGCCTGGTTTGGCCCGAAGCTCATTCAAGGCTTCCGAACCTGAAAAACACGGAGGCGGTTTGCCAACCCCCGTCACTGCACCTGAAATTCTCTGCGGGCCAACCATCTCCTGAGGCAGGGGTAAAGGGAAAATTCCACGCTGCCGATCACTCCCATTGCCGTGTAAATCAAAACTGTCAGCCAGTCCACCTCCTTGCACATCCCCCCTGCCAGAAAAACCAGCATCAGAGTCACCGCAAAAAGGCAAATCAGCTTCCGAGGGCAAGGCCTCCATTGAGCCCTGCCGAGATGCTCCTGGGTCACTTCGAAGCCGCGGCCCGCTCCTCCCGGACCTTTCTGACCTGTTTCATCACCGCGGCCTCCTTCTCAATCTCTTGGACACATACTCCATGAGGTCAGGACTGACCATCACATCGCCAAACTCGCGATGCGACCCAGCGAAGATGTTGGCCTCCATTTTGTAAAGCCCCTCCTCGTCCTTCTTGTCCTTGCCCTGACCTCGGCCGGTCGCCTTTCCACCTCCCGGGCCCCGGTCTGAATAGAAATACTCGATCAGCTGCAGCCTCCGGAATGCCAGTTCGATCCCGGCCAAGTTGGCCAAGTCCAAACCGTCAAATCGCCCCAAACGATCAAGCATCTTCATCAACTGCTCATGCTCTGCAACTCCCCACGATTCCGGCTTCAAGGAATTGCTTGTAACCCACCACCTGTGATGATCGTTCGGGCCTCCATTCCGGCGATTGAGAAAACGCACACACCACGCGGCCGTACGAGGGCCTGGGACACCCCAGTC